GTTTTTCAATGCAGCATAGTATTCCATTGTGCGAATATACCACAGCTTCTCTACCCATTCGTTTGTTGATGGGCATTTAGGTTGTTTCCAACTCCTTGCTTATAAAACATAATGCATGGGAATGATTGTATAAAACACAATATGAATGAAGAATAGTGTGAAACACAATGTTTATGAACTTTCTGAGCAAAACAATATAAAACAAAACTTTTAAAAAACTTTCCATAATGAAAAACATTAAATTGATGACTCGAAAAGTAAGAGGCAAAAAGAAATGGGATAAGTTGAATACATTTGGGGTAGGAGGGGAAAGGTTATTATGGAATTTAGATATTTGGCTAACAAATTCAGTTCTCTTAGGGTCAGAAAAGGCTCCAAATCATATCCAATCACAAATTCACAAACTGTGATTAACAGTAACAGTTGAATATGGCAGGGCAAGAAGTACAAATAACAAGACAATGCTGAAAATCCACTTCAACGATATTATTATGATAATCAGGTTAACAACTGCTTATTAACCATAAGAATTCCATACACATTTAATAGAGATCAAGTATTCCATCTGGATGGTATCCTTCTTTCTAAAACCCATACACTCAATCTAGGCCAAAAAAGGCACATATTTTGGAGAGCAGTAGCAACGGGACGGCATCATTTAAGGACCCCAAGTTCTGTGGAATCCGGAGTAGGTGGGAGGTGGGATGGACACTCACCGTTTATCGATAGCATCGATGTTTGAATGGAGAAGCCACAGCTCCTCTGTGTTGTCCTGTCGAGAGGATAGGATCAGATGATGGCCCGTCAGACAGAGAGTCCCCTCTACGGCGCGATAGAAAGGCCGGTGTAACACCACATTGTCCACTCGTGGGGTTTTAATCAGCTCTGCAAACTCCATGTTCCCTGGCGAGCCGGAACCAGAGCACTGATGAGCCCAAGAGGTTCAAGGTGGATTCGCTGCAGCAGGGCTGAGCCGAATGACCAGGCAAGCCCGAGGGGCGGGGACCGGGGGAGGGCAGACCGGGCCCCGCCCCAGGCCGGGTGGGCGCGGCGAGGCCTGCAGTCACCGTAACCTGCGGAAAGAAGACCTCCTGAAGCTGTGGCTGAGGCCGGGCCGCTCCTCCCGGTCACCCCGGGCCCAGGACCTGGCTGCGGGAACACTCTGCTGCGGGCCCAGAAGCCGCCGCCTGCGGGACCTCTCCTCTGTTGGGCGGAACAAGAGCGGAGGAGAAGATCACTTTAGGACCAACGCTCAAGCTTTAGTGTCAAGGGACTCCTGGCGGAAGTACCTGCTTGAACACAAACCTAAAGCAATTCTGGGCGGAAGCAGCGGAGTCCAAAACTCAGGAAGGGGAAGTCAAAGCCGGAAGTAGATCCCTGACTAGGTCTGTTAAAAATGCCTCCGGAAAAACAGGCAGAACCAAATACTCAGTGTTCCTACAGGAAAAAATGTTTTTGCCTTCATGTCCTTTCCAATTCTATCAAATACTCCTTTATCAGAAGATACCCGAAAAGATGGGAGGACGATAAGAGGTCCCAGGCTTGTGTCGTTTTACTTGGGCAGTAACCTTCTCAAGATCTCTTCAGAGGATGAGGCTGTCGAAAATTAAGATCTCATCGACTAACGTGAATGGAAGGCGGAGAGCGAATCAGTGATTGTGACGAAAGAGAAGCCTTTGGTGTAAGGGAGGGACGCCTAGACTCCGGGAACTGCAAACTACAGCTGTGCGACCTTCAACAAGAAAAAGGAAAAAGCATACCCATGCATTCCTATGATTGAGGCCTTAATAGACATGCATGTCATGTATTGAGAAAGAAATGATAATCTTATGATAAGACTCAAGTAACTAATATTAAGTGTATGTAGCAGATCCTGTGCTTCAAATGAAATCTATATTCATAGGTTACCGTGCGTTGATCACTTCATACGTAAACTCTACATTAAGCCCAAATCCTTGGAACTACTCTCAGATATGTAAACGTTCTATTTCTCCTTACCTGATATTCTTCCCAACTCTAAAAATATAAGATCAAAACGAAGCGCCCCTCCCCTTATTCTAAACAGGGTCTAAAGGGAAAATATGAAAAGGTTTGAGGACTGGTTTGCTGTAATTTCATATTTGATATCCTTATCTAGTCACTGCGTAATGCAATGAGTTGGCAAAACTGTCACATTAGTCAGAGAAAAATTGCCATAAACTTCATCAGATCACCCAGTCATCGCTGTGTTGGTCCTTGTGCTCCCAAAATGTCCCCTCTGTTAAAAAAAGTCAAATATTGTTCAAATTTAAAACCCGCTTTATTTGTCTGTCAATGAAAAACAAGAGAAAAAATTGTAGTTGTTGTTGTTATTGTTGTTATGTGCCATAGAGTTGCTTGCGACTCATAGCGACCCTATGTACAACAGCCCTAAACTCTGCTCTGTCCTGTGCCAATCTCACTGTCTCTGACATTCCATCCTGATTACCCCGTCACTGAATCAATCCACCTCGTAGAGGACCTTCCCCTCCTGCGCTGTCCCTCCACCCTTCCAAGCATGATGTCCCTCTCCAGGGATCTGTCCCTCCTTGCAATATGTCCAAAGTATGTTAGATGGAGCCTCAGAATCCTTGCCTCCAATGAGCTGCCTGGTTTAACCCTTTCCAGGATGAATCTGTTTGTTTTCCTAGCAGTCCATGGTACCCTCAACACTCTTCTCCAGCACCACAGAACAAAGGCAAAATTCTCCTTCTATCCTCCTTAGACATTGTCCAACTCTCTGACGGACAAGTGATAGCAAAGACCATGGCCTGTATCAGATGCACCTTAGTCTCTAGAGAGACACTATTGCTCTTCAATACTTTGGAGAGGTCCCTAACATCAGACTTTTCCATGGAAATACGTCTTTTCTATTTCCTGACTACTGGTGCCAAGAGTGAAGAGAAAAAAGAATAAAAAAAATTCTCTGCAAAGAACTGCAGAGTTTACCTTCCTTCACTTGGTTCATTGCGTTATGAAGATATTACAGATTAGAGGATTTACTTAAAGAGTAAGGGAAAGCTTTATTGAAAAGGTACTATTTGAAAAGAAGAAATGAAAGGATAGGAAAGATTTACTATCTAAAGTGTGGCCAAGACAGAATTTCAAGTATTGAAAAAATCTTCAGTAATTCCACTTTTATCTTTTAGTTCCCTCCACCCTAAAAAGCTATGGAAATGTTATAATGTCAGTCAACTTAGAAGTGTTTAATATCCTATTTTTTTTTCCTATTAAAGGAATTTAATCTACAAAAATTCTTTCCCAAGAAATAAAATTGTTAATATCAGGCTATACCATCATCGTGAAATACAAGAAAACATTATAAAATATATGCAATGTCGGTTAAAAGCTCAAGATACTAAAAAAAATCTGGATAAAACAAAAATTTAATAGAAAAGAATGAGAGGGAGAGTAGCATAAAATACTACTTTCCAATATGAACAGTAGATGGCAGTCAAGTTCAACAATTATGGGTCAGGCTTTCACTCAGTGAAACTGTTTAAACCAAACTGTCCAAAGTGGCTAAAGGGATTCTCATAATTCAGAGAAAATAATGGAATTTCTAATGCATGCAAAGCAATTAACATCCTATGTTGTTGTTGTTGTTGTGTGCCGTCGAGTTGCCTG